TTTTTTCTTTTAATGTGTTACCTAATAATGATAATTCTAAATTGCTCTTAAAAGTTTTCAACTTCTATGGGTGGTATTTAACAAGACGGCACTTAACATAAGTTTTAATTTTTTACTTTATTTAACTGCAATGTTTGAGCATCTGTGGTGAATAAAAAACGTATGGGATCTGTGTTGCCAACCATTTAAAAAGTTTGCCTACATCATGAGGATTTTAAAACAGTAGCATAATATGTACTTAATGTCATTACTTACTGAGCTATAGTATGTAAAAGTAGACAATTCATTACAAGGTTAAAAAATTATTTACTATCTGCTCGCCTTGTTTGGACGAATTCTAAATTACCGAAAAGCAACGAGATTATGTCATCTACCTTCAATACGGCAACAAGCTATCGAACAAAATTGCAAATATATATGTCGCCGCAAGGACATCTTCTGTTGACGAAGCCTAAACTTTGCGTTGTCTTATCAATTGTTAGTACCCGGGTGACCGAGCATTGCTCGGTATTTTTCGCTCGGTTTTTTTGAATTCGTGTGTTTTGGAAATTATATTTAGATACAAATTACATACTGATGAAATACGAATAATATTTTTTGATCTTAGCGACATAATAGAAAAACTGAACTGGTTATTTGAATAAAAAATCATGAGCGCAATTAGTTTAATTTAAATTTTGGTGTTTTTAAAAAATACTAAAAAAAAGGGCTCGCAAAAATACATTTTCTCAAAAAAAGAAAGGAACTTGAAAAAAAAATTAAAAAAAGTCGGTGGTTCGGTCTGGGCTCGAACCATGGTATTAAGATTTTGTGACCGCCCAACATACCAATTAAGCTATTTGTAATCACTACCACACTCTCAAATTTAACTTCTTATTCTAACAATATTGTAGCAGTTTTTCATTGCCTAAAAACACGGATAAAAAGATATTTTCTAAAAAAACCCACTTTATTGCCCCCGAAACCCTGCACACAAAATTTTATGAAAATCGTTGGAGCCGTTTCCGAGATTCTGATTATATACAAGAATTGCTCGTTTAAAGGTATAGGATAAATAATAATAATCAACAGTGTATAACTATTAATATAACAATTTAATAACAGCAATTTATCATATGAAACATAACAAGTAACTAGCTAATTCTTTAAAACTGTTTTGGTTTACAAATCTCTTTATTGACAACTATAATTCATAATTATAATTATTTCTTTGCATAGAATGTAGGTAGATATTACAATAGTATTATTAAAACATGAAAGTGCGTGCAAATTTTGACTAATTAGATATACCTAACAATTGTTTTTTTGATGAATTTAATTTATTTACAAATATCAAAATGTTCATATGTAAAAACAGTAAAATTAACTAACTACTAATTATTATATAACTATCAAAGTCCAAAGCAAAAAATTCAAGCAATTTTGGATACAGATTTTTAAATATGTAATTCGTTTTGATTTTTGTGATCAAGATACCTACTCATTAACAGTATAGAAACAATTAAGTAAAAGCCATTCATGAAGTTGTGTTTTTTAACTTTGTCATTGGGAAATTTTAAGAGTTAAAGATTTTAATCGCCATTATATATGAATTTTTTTGGAAGAGCATCAATAATAATTTACATTTTGGAAAGTATATTCTGTTATTAGATTTTTCTCTTAAACTTCTATCTCTTAAAAACTAATTCCTTTTAAACAACTATTTATTCGATTATCAACTTTTGACTCAAATATTGTTTTAAATCGTAGAAATAAATAATTGTTGATTTTATTATTAATCCTGGTAATTGAAATTACTAAAGAAACCTAATGAATTCAATAAAAAGATATTGTTTAGTGAAGTATTGACCAATCAAATCGTCGACCAATCAGAGCACACCTAAGGAGTTATTATGTTTTCCTTATTGTATGAACGCGGGAATAGACTCACTTCAGTTCCCGCGCTCGTCGGTGTAGTTCTATTTTCATGGTAAAACTTTTTGAGTATTATTTGTGAGTTTTCATAATAAGAAGTGTAGAATAAAGTTATTGGAGTGCAAAATTAAAAGTGCAAGGTTTTAGACTCTTAGATCTCTTTCATTACACTGGAAACAATATACGGTAGCACGACTGAACCCTTGTCAAATGGGGACAGTGGTGCTGCCTCACCTTAAAAACAACCCCGAGGTTTCCGCTTGCGATATATATATTATAATTAAATGTAATAAAACGTTAAAAGAAATGTGTGTACGAAGAAACCTTTTCCGCGACCTAATAAATTCGCCGAACAGGGTAAGAAAAGTGTATATTTAAATTGTTTGGCTAGCTTATAATCAATACATAGTATTTTAATTCATGTGAGTGGTTTTAGGCCTTTCGTTTGGGCCCCCCAACAAATTCTGATTAGGACACGTCTAAAGCACCCTACACTACTAAAACCTATCGAAATAAACCTATCGAATAGGATATCAAAATAAAGGAATTTAAAAGGGGATTACAAATATAAGTTGTTAAAAAAATATTCGATCTCCTCCATTTCAACAATTAATTGTGCTTAATACTTTTTAAAAATAAACAAAATCGATTTGCCAATAGTCCGTAATGGAATAAAAAATAATCAAACCTATCTAATAAAAAGTAATGCTCCTGCAGTAATTAATTTTATTTTCATTGTTTTTGCTAAAGTTGCCAAATATGGCACCATTAACTCTTACAAATCGGCAATATCCTTACTCCTAGATAATTTAATTCGTGACGACAGACTTAAACGATTCATGAAAGGAGAGTTTATAGGTTAAGGCCTACTTGTCAAAAGTATAATTTGACCTGGGACCCAACCATAGTTTAAAATAATTTTACTCTACAGTGGCCTAACTCCGACCTCGACTTGGAAACTCTTTTCAAAAAGACCGTAACACTCTTTGCTTTAGTAACTGCACATCGTATTCAGACTATAGCACTTATAAAATTATCTAATATTGTTTTTAATTCCTAAAGTGCTATTTCATCCTGTTATACGTCCCGCATCTTGCTTAGAAACATACATCCATAAAACTCAATCGCTTCGTAGTAATTTATTTTTTTATATTAGTTTCAAACGTCCACATTCGAAAATAATATAACAATTATAATAAAGATATTATAATTTGCAACCATCCGCTTAATTAACTACAATGATGTGTCTTACCTGGATTGAAGAGCACCTCCCGCCCTCCCTCCTGGAATAATGGTGTTGGGAGTAGTGGTGTTGGGAGTAGTGGTAACGGGATTAGTGCACGCAATTGAGGGAGGGCGAGAGGTGCTCTTCAATCCAGGTAATACACATCATTGTAGTTAATTAAGCGGATGGTTGCAAATTAATATATTTGTTATAATTGATAAGATTGATTTCCGCAAAGTAACGTCTGATTCTATCAATTATCCATTGAAGTAATACGTACTTACGTACTAAAACAGCTATATCAAAAAAAAATGTAATATGTGTTCGCGCGGTTGTTTTTTTATCATAGAATAAACATAGGTAGAATGACCCGTAGTAGATTGTATTGTTAAATAGGTAAATTATCTCGAGAACAATATTTAAATTTTGTCATTTATTTTGTATATTATATTTGCTTATTTAATGTAATATTACGTGATATTATATCACAATTACATTTTAATATTTTACCTGAATATTTTGGAAGGTATCCAAGTCAAACATAAAAAACATACTAAATGTATGTCTAACAAAACTTATTAACATAACATTTAAATTACAAATATATTTATTTAAATTAGAATAAAAGTCGTTCATAAATGCTGGGCACGCGAGAGTTAAAAATGAACGAATTTATACCACTTTGACTTTCTTGTGGAAACCTAAAAATAAAATAAAATAATATTAAGCAGATTTAATCATGAAAAAATTTTCCAAATTATAATAACTTATATATGTTTCTACAAAAAAATGTGTATAATAATATATTCGTCCTATACTTAAGTACCCACAGAAATGTCGCACAGAACGGAACACAGAAAAAAAAGTGACTACGAAATCGAGTAATTGTTTTTTAAAACTGGAATAGCAGACAAAGTTACCTATACGGGAGAATCTTTGTTTGTGGAGGAATTAAGCGGTAAGTTTTATAATTTACATTCAATACATGGATGCGTACTGCTAAATTTGGGCTACTACCGTCATTATTGATCTAAATAAAAAATAGCAAGTTGTGATGCGAGATACCGTATTTGGTTGAAAAAAGTGATACATACTGCTAATTTTGGGCTGATATTGTCACATTTTTATTACAAACATTCTAATAAGAACTGTTTGCTGCAGATTCACCTCTGCATCCGCTGAGCACGTGCCACGCATTGTCACCAGCGTCATGCGTGGAGTTTCCTTTTCTGGTTGATATGGAGGTTCACCTACATATCCCATCTTGTCAGGAAATGGTTCTCCTGGAACTGGTTCTCTACAGCCAACGTTCCGGTTTGTCCCATTTGCCGGTGCCGAGAATGGCAATACAGTCGCCGCAACCGCAGGTTGACGACATACCGATTTCTCCAACACCTGGAACATCAGCTGGCAGTGAACCTTCACAGCAGATGATGTTAGAGGTGCAACTCGACGAAGACGTACTGGTTTTGCCTGGTGATGCACCTAAGACGGAGACCCCAATGGGTCCAGCAATTTATAAGGATATAGCCAATCGATGGCAAGATATACTTGAAAAGGGCATGAAAGAAAGTCTTTTGAAGAATCATCTTATACCCTCCAACTATGACCTGATGGCACCAGCTCTATACTCGGGGGTTAAAGGAGCTGACGGAGACTTCTATAAAACGAGACTCGTCACTTTTATTCAAACGAAAGCAGCTAGGCGTTACCATTGCAGCCCTAGTTGCTGTTGCCAATTTGATCATTTCGGACGAAACTGGCAAACAAAAACTTCTAAAACCTTTAAGCGACGCCTGTCGCATTTTTTGCGACGAAGATAGTCATTTATATGGAATCAAAAATACGTAGAGGTTTCATAATGTCGTCTATTAATACTTACCCGCTCTACTTTCAGTCCAACCGGCAACACTGGTTATTTAAACTACCTAAACCAACATCGCAAAGTAGACAACAAATTGCAGCCGCAAATGTACAACACAAGGCGAGGGCAGCGGTCAACGCCGCGCCCGCGGGAGGCACCGCAGCAGGCAGCCAGCACTTCACGCCGCCCGCCGTCAATCAAGTCGACGATGTCTCGCCGGACATAGACGAGGTACCATTTTCGGGACAACTTCAGTACTTTGACAATAAATGAAGAAATAAATATAAAAAATAGTAAATAAATTCATTTATTGAATAAAACTATATTGACACTACAAAGTTGAAGCCCTGACTTCCGAACTAGCAATAGCTGTGTGTAAGAACTGATTCCTTCCCATTTCCATTAAATTACAATTACGAAATGGCACAACTCCGAACAAGGTAATAGTCCAAGATCCTGCTCTATAACAATACAATTTTTTACAAAGCCAAGAAAAAATAAAAATATGCATTAATATGTGTGTTGTTGCATCTATGATTTAAATAAAAAACACAGCTATTGCTAGTTCAGGAGTCAGTGCTTCAACTTTGTAGTGTCAATATGGTTTTATTCAATAAATAATTTTATTTATTATTAAATGCGCTGAAATAACTTCAGACAAAACTATTGCATCTTGGATGAAAGGTTACCAAATACCATTTAAAAGTACGCGAGATCTTACTAGTGATCCTTATGTTTACCCCAAAAACATCCCACGAAGCGCATAATTTAACAAGTCAATTGAAACCCTTCTAGATATTGGTGCAATATCCCACCGCACACATAAAGAAAGCGAATTCATATCCAGTGTATTTTTAGTGCCAAAACAGAACGAAGAAAATAGATTTATATTGAATAAACAAGTTCGTAGAAACGTGACATTTTAAGATGGAGGATTACTGAACAGCATCAAAATTGATGACCAAAAACTGTTATATGGCTTCCATAGATTTAAAAGACGCCTATTTTCTACTACTACTTTCTATATATAAATTTCATAAAAAAATACCTTTGCCTTAAATATAATGATGCGCTTTTTACCAGACTGTCAAGGAAGGGTTATGTTTTTCGCGCGATCTTGTATGTTTGTAAATTTCTTTATTACCTCGTATCTTCCAAACGGCTGGATGGATTTCGACAATTAAGGGGATATATTAAGTCGGCTCAAATTCTAATTTCGCCCCCACTTCACTGCGCGTCGTATGCTATGTACCGACATGTTTGTAATCACTAATACTGTAAGTAGATATGTGGTTAGATACTTATTTCATTAGATTTATCATATTTGTGCCTGTTTCTTAACGCCAACCCAGTCGCTTCTTATTTTTATCACGGTTATTTCCCATTTTAATTTTACGTCGTCCTGTTGCGTAATGTGTATTCTGATCGTAAGTCATCGTATCGTCGTCGTCGTCGTCGAAGATCGTAGTATCGTCGATACTAACGAGGCGACAGGAATCTAGCTTCAAGACGCCGATTGTTTAGGTAATTTCTTTTTACAGTGAAAATAATCGTATTTTAAAAAAAGTCAATAACATAAGCACTGCTTTATAGTTAGTTCAGTTAGTATGCAAAGTTTCATGATCTTATTTAAAGTGTTTTATGAATAACAGCGGTTTATTTTTCAGTTTGGAGGTAACTTTGGATTTTTTTCTATCAAGAAAATTTTACGGAATCGTGTTATCGTCTAACATAGCCCTTAACATTAATCCTCAACTTTACCATATATTTATTTCAAAATTAATGCTGCAATACTTTCGGCATAACGGAGGATCTTGCTAAGCCATTTGAGGTTATATTTCCCCTTAAGAGGTGAGAGTAAGTCAGCTCAAATTCTAATTTCGTCCCCACTTCCCCGCGCGTCGTATGCTATGTACCGACATGTTTGTAATCACTAATACTCTAAGTAGATAGGTCGTTAGATACTTATTTCATTATGTTTATCATATATATGCCTGTTTCTTAACGCCAATCCGGTCGCTTCTTATTTTTATAACGGTTATTTCCCATTTTAATTTTACGTCTTCCTGTTACGTAATGTGTTTTCTGATCGTAAGCGACACAACTTCTCCCTTCAAAAGCCGGAGCAATACTAACGGAGCGACAGGAACCAAGCTTACGCGCCGATAGTTTAGGTAATTTCTTTTTTACAGTAAAAATAATGGTATTTTAAAAAAAGTAAATAACATAAGCACTGCTTTACGGTTAGTTCAGTTAGTATGCAAAGTTTCATGATCTTATTTAAAGTATTTTATGAATAACAGCGGTTTATTGTTCAGTTTGGAGGTAACTTTGGATTTTTTTTTCTATCGAGAAAATTTTACGGAATCGTGTTTTCGTCTAACATAAACCTTAACATTAATCCTCAACTTTACCATATATTTATTTCAAAATTAATGCTGCAATACTTTCGGCATAACGGAGGATCTTGCTAAGCCATTTGAGGTTATATTTCCCCCAAACTTCTTTAATCGTATCTTCCAAACGTCTGGATGGATTTCGACAATTAAGGTATCATTTTATTCGTCTTAATAATTAAAGTGTTCTTAGATAGGTTTGTTTTAAAAATAAACAATATGGCGGATTTTTGGCGAAAAATAGTAAATACATTAATTTAAAAAATTAACGAAACCTATCGAATAGGATACCAAAACAAAGGAATTTAAAAGGGGATTACAAAAATATATATAAGTTGTATGTTTAAATTTAAGAATGTTTGTAAATTTCTTCATAACCTCGTATCTATTTTTCAAACGGCTGGATGGATTTCAACAATTAAGGTATCGTTTTATTCGTCTTAAATACCCAAGTGCTCTTAGATAGCTTTTTAAAAAATAAACAAAATGGCGGATTTTTGGCGCAAATAGTAATACGTTAATGGAATAAAAAATAATCAAACCTATCTAATACCGAATATAAGTTGCAGGGTTTTTCATTAGGAGTTATAAATTGGTTTATAAAGTTTTTAACTACTGGTTTAAAAAATGTGCAATATTTGTGTCTAGCCTCGTGCTATTATATGAAAAAAAAAGAATAGTTATTAATATCGGTCGCCCAATAACATTTAAAACAAAACAAATACTTAAATTGCTTTCAATAAATTTTGAACCCGTAGGTACTTTGAAGTTTTGAAGAAAAATGTAATAAATAAATACAGTTTATTTCAGGAAATATACATCGACCTTTCTAAGTCGCATAGTTATGGCAAAATCGTCAAAAATCTTTACACAAATGACAGGCACACTAAAAGTCTTAAATAAAATAAATAATTAATAAAAATCTAAAACCCGACTGCAAAAGAGACAATTTAAAATTAATGCATTAAAAAGATCGAAACAAGATTGAGAATACAAAACAAAATTAAAATAAACTATAAACAAAGTAAACTCTACTTCGGTTTAACAGACTATATGAGCTAAAAACCTACGCACCCTAACCTATTGCAAATTACAAACCGAAAGATAATGGGTTCCGCTTGCTACTAAACTTAATATTTTACTTAGGCTATTTTACTGGTTTTTAGCTCATATAGTCTGTTAAACCGAAGTAGTTTACTTTGTTTATAGTTTATTTTAATTTTGTTTTGTATTCTCAATAATTAATATTCGATAATTTAAATTCAATTAAAAATTATTGCGAATTGATAATGTTACTGCAATGTCTTGTATTAATAGGATGGGTAGTATACAGTTCGATCATTTAAATATTAATTTTAGACAAATATAGAAATGGTATGAAATTCGTGCAATAACTATATTCTCTTCTTATCGAAATACTAAAGACAACTATAAGGCAGATCAAAAGTCTCTTAAGACATTTTTGGACACTAAATGGGAACTTCATGCCAAAGCATTTAATAAATTACCTCTATGCTACGGTTACGCACATATATCTTTTTGCTAGCAGACGCAATGCTAAAAGCCATAAATATATTGCTTGGAACAATTAGCCTGATGCTAGGCCACTGACGTTTTTACCGTTTCTTGGATAAATATATTATTCTACGCATTTCCACATTTTTCACTAATAACAAAGGTCATACAAAAAATTATTAATGAAAGAGTAGAAGGTATTCTAGTAGTGCCATATTGGCTTACGCAACCTTGGTTCCCAAAATTTAATTTGTTCTATGTCAATATATTTAAAACCAAATAAAGACTTGTTATTGTCTCCTTTCAAAATGCCTCACAGCCTACACCGCACCTTGAGCTTAGTAACCGAGAGGCTTTCAGGAAAACTTTATTTAAGAGATGTTTGTCCTCGAGATCAGTAGAAATTATATTGTCTTCTTGTACATATAAGCAATATGATGGATGTATGATAAAATTTTGATAAAATATTGTAAAATACATGGTTTATGATTACTATGTAGTTTCTGCTCCTGCAGTAATTAATTTTATTTCCAATGTTTTTGCTAAAGGTGCCAAATATGGCACTATTAACTCTTACAAATCTGCAATATCCTTACAGCTAGATAATTTAATTCGTGACGACAGACTTAAACGATTCATGAAAGGAGAGTTTATAGGTTAAGGCCTACTTGTCAAAAGTATAATTTGACCTGGGACCCAATCATAGTTTAAAATAATTTAACTCTATAGTGGCCTAACTCCGACCTCGACTTGAAAACTCTTTTCAAAAAGACCGTAACACTCTTTGTTTTAGTAACTGCACATTTCAGACATTCAGCACTTATAAAATTATCTAATATTGTTTTTAATTCCTAAAGTGCTATTTCACTCTGTTATTATATCTTATATACGTCCCGCATCTTGCTTAGAAACATACATCAATAAAACTCAATTGCATCGTAGTAATTTATATTTTTATATTACTTTCAAACGCCCACATTCGAAAATAATATAACAATTATAATAAAGATATTATAATTTGCAACCATCCGCTTAATTAACTACAATGATGTGTCTTACCTGGATTGAAGAGCACCTCCCGCCCTCCCTCCTGGAATAATGGTGTTGGGAGTAGTGGTGCCGGGAGTAGTGGTGTTGGGAGTAGTGGTAACGGGATTAGTGCACGCAATTGAGGGAGGGCGAGAGGTGCTCTTCAGTCCAGGTAATACACATCATTGTAGTTAATTAAGCGGATGGTTGCAAATTAATATATTTATTATAATTGTTATGATTGATTTCCGCAAAGTAACGCCTGATTCTATCAATTATCCATTGAAGTAATACGTACTTACGTACTAGAACAGCTATCTCAAACAAAAAATGTGCTCTAATATGTGTTCGCGCGGTTGTTTTTTTTATCATAGAATAAACATAGTGTGACGGCCCAATGTTATTATTAATAATTAAATTCAATATAACGGGGCGTCAAAAATAGTCTTAAAATATATATATTAAGCAATAAAATTACAATAAGCATAAAGTTAATATAAATATATTTTAGACCGTTTGTGGGCGGCGTAGTAGCGCATAGCGATGCGTCGTCTATATTTCGGATTGGGATGATGAGTGTGTTTGGTAGCACTTTTAAGTGTAACAGGCATACTCAACTTCATGTCTTAGTGCATTAGCGCTATGATACGTGGAGTTTTGTTCACTGGCGTCTTAGTAGCGTGCTACTATGATACGTTGGTGATATTTTTAGTTAACAACAATACAAACTTTGTTACCAAAGTCAATAGGGATCATGTGGGTGAGTTGTGAGGGGGCGCCAACCGTATGATAGTTGCATTGATGCTTACTGCTCTTTGCGGTATTGCGTCTTGTGATGGATCTGCGGGTGTGCTGCGCCTGATTCGACGCTCTCTTGTGGTTCTGGTCGATGGAGGTATGCGGGTGTTGATGTCTGCTGGGATGTATGGGGAACCTTGGGATGGTGTAAGCCCGACGATAGTCGTATTGATGCTTGTTGCGTTCTGCAGCATTGCGTCTCTGCGATGGTTGTTTGGTGGGACGCTATTCTCGCGCTCTCTGCGTCTTGGTTTGACTCACACCTAATTAGCTTTGCCCAAATCGGGTCCCTTCATTACGGAGCTGCAGACTGTCTGCCCTCCATGATGTTTTATATAACAACATAATAATATATCTCTGTAACTTTCTCACCTTTGAATGATTGAAGGCAACTTGTTGGTGGGTGAGACAAACATGATCGAAAATGCATTTACTCATCGTCAGTGACACAAACCCTTTCTGATGGCGAATTATTACTCTTCTCTTATAGCCTTTTGGCTATATCTGCCGTTGTATTGGTTGGTGAAGCATATGTGTCAACCTCATGCGGGTGGTAGCTGGCGGGAGTATCTGAGGAGACTCTCAAGGCTGCGGCCGAAAGCCGCACAACGTGGGACCCCATTCCCTTGAGGTGAGCGGTAGACTCATGACACGCTCTGCGGCTAGTAGCCGTGCTGATCATGCATGGTGGTGATGCCATACACTTACATCACGTCTGCAGGAGCGGCGGTCTGGCAGGTGGTGGCGCTCACGGAGGGTTTACGGCCAGTGTGCCTATTTGCGTAAACCCGTGACGTACATTCACTGTGGCTGGATTCGTTCGTATTCTGTATGGCGTTTACACGCATTGACATGCGCGACTTCGGTCGATGTTTGTGCTTACGCACTAACAAGGGGCCAAGCCTCTTTTACTGGTTCGCCAGTTATTTTGTTGTGGACTACGGTCCAGTTCCCGAATTAGCGTTCCCTTCGGGGGGAGTGCATCAAAATGGTTGGCGCTCACCGTGCACGGCGTGTGTGGAGCCGTGTGCCTCCCCTACATTTTTTTAAATAAATGTAGGAGAGCGAAGCCCTTGTATCGGGTATTTTGTATAAATATGTTGTGAGCCTTTTCCAATCGGGAAGGGATAAATAACAATAAATTAATAATGTGAATCTGATACAAGTGAAGAGGACATTTTATGTTCTTAACCTTTCTCGAGCACTGTCTTCGTGAACGGGGTTCACTTAGCTTATAAGGCACTACCAACAGCTTTCAATTGCTCTAGTGAATATTTATTCTTCCAAAAGACATCTAAAAGAACTAAGTTGCTAAACAAACACAACGTAAATAAGGGTCCTAACCAAGACAATCACGCCAAAATATTACAAACGGCCTATTATTAAACATTTAGAAAGATCAAAACTTATCTTATTTATCTTGATCACAAATATATAATTTTTATCGAAAAGGGGTAAATTAATTATATTAATTATATTTAATATAATATTATTTTTATATAGAGGGGGGAAGCGTTACAATAGGTAGAATGACTCGTAGTAGATTGTATTGTTAAATAGGTAAATTATCTCGAGAACAATATTTAAATTTTGTCATTTATTTATTATATTTGCTTATTTAATGTAATATTACATGATATTATATCACAATTACATTTTAATAATATTTTACCTGAATATTTTGGAAGGTATAAAAAAAAAACATAAAAAACATACTAAATGTATGTTTAACAAAACTTATTAACATAACATTTAAATTACAAATATATTTATTTAAATTAGAATAAAAGTCGTTCATAAATGCTGAGCACGCGAGAGTTAAAAATGAACGAATTTATACCACTGACTTTCATGTGGAAACCTAAAAATAAAATAAAAGAATATTTAAGCAGATTTAAATATAAAAAAAATTCCGAATTATAATAACTTATATATGTTTCTACAAAAAGATGTGTATAATAATATATTCGTCCTATACTTCATGTACCCACAGAAATGTCGCACAAAACACAGAAAAAAGGTGTAGACGAAATCAAGATTTTTTTTAAACTGGAATAGCAGTTAAACAAATTTACCTATACGAGAGAATGTTTGTTTGTGGAGGAATTAAGCTGTAAGTTTTATAATTTACATTCAATACATGGATGCGTACTGCTAAATTTGGGCTACTACTGTCATTATTGATCTAAATAAAAAATATAAAGTTGTGATGCGAGATACCGTATTTGGGTTACCTCTGTCATGAAAAAAGTGATGCGTACTGCTAATTTTGGGCTGATACTGTCACATTTTTATTACAAACATTCTAATAAGAACTGTTTGCTGCAGATTCACCTCTGCATCCGCTGAGCACGTGCCACGCATTGTCACCAGCGTCATGCGTGGAGTCTCCTTTTCTGGTTGATAGGGAGGTTCACCTACATATCCCATCTTGTCAGAAAATGGTTCTCCTGGAACTGGTTTTCTACCGCCAGCGTTCCCAAAATTGCCGGTGCCGAGAATGGCAATGCAGTCGCCGCAACCGCAGGTTGACGACAGACAGATTTCTCAAACACCTGGAAATCAGCTGGCAGTGAACCTTCACAGCCGATGATGTTAGAGGTGCAACTCGACGAAGGCATACTGGTTTTGCTTGGTGTTGCGTCTAAGACGGAGACCCTAATGGGTCCAGCAATTTATAAGGATATAGCCAATCGATGGCAAGACATACTTGAAAAAGGCGTGAAAGATAAAGTCTTTTGAAGAATTATCTTATACCCTCCAACTATGACCTCATGATGGCACCAGCTCTAAGCTCTGGGATAAAGCAGCTGACAGAGACTTCTATAAAACGAGACTTTTGTTCAAACAAAAGCAGCTAGGCGTCACCATTGCAGCCCTAGTTGCTGTTGCCAATATGATCATTTTGGACGAAACTGGCAAACAAAAACTTTTAAAACCTTTAAGCGACGCCTGTCGCATTTTTTGCGATTGTCATTTTATGGAATCAAAAATACGTAGAGGTTTCATAATGTCGTCTATTAAGGGGATATAGTAAGTCAGCTCAAATTCTAATTTCGTCCCCACTTGGCCGCGCATCGTATACCGACATGTTTGTAATCACTAATACTGTAAGTAGAAAGGTCGTTAGACATTTATTTCATTAGGTTTATCATATTTATGCCCGTTTCTTAACGCCAACCCAGTCGCTTCTTATTATTATCACGGTTATTTCCCATTTTAATTTTACGTCGTCCTGTTGCGTAATGTATATTCTGATCGTAAGCGACACAACCTCCCCCTTCAAAGGCCGAAGCGAAGTGACCTTGCGGCAGGAATCACGCTTCAAGAGGCCGATAGTTTAGGTAATTTCTTTTTACAGTGAAAATAATGTTATTTTAAAAAAAGTAAATAACATAAGCACTACTTTATAGTTAGTTCAGTTAGTATGCAAAGACAACAGCGGTTTATTGTTTATTTTGGAGGTAATTTTGGATTTTTTTTCTATAGAGTAAATTTTACGAAATCGTGTTTTTGTCTAACATAATCCTTAACATTAATCCTCAACTTTACTATATATTTATTTCAAAATTAATGCTGCAATATTTTCGGCATAACAAAGGATCTTGCTAAGCCATTTGAGATTATATTTCCCTTTAATACTTACCCGCTCTACTTTCAGTACCACCAGCAACACTGGTTATTTAAACTACCTAAACCAACATCGCAAGGTAGACAACAAATTGCAGCCGCAAATGTACAACACAAGGCGAGGGCAGCGGTCAACGCCGCGTCCGCGGGAGGCACCGCAGCAGGCAGCCAGCACTTCACGCCGCCCGCCGTCAATCAAGTCGACGATGTCTCGCCGGACATAGACGACGTACCATTTTCGGGAAAACTTCAATACTTTGACAATAAATGAATAAATATAAAAAATAGTAAATAAATTCATTTATTGAATAAAACTATATTGACACTACAAAGTTGAAGCCCTGACTTCCGAACTAGCAATAGCTGTGTGTAAGAACTGATTCCTTCCCATTTCCATTAAATTACAATTACGAAATGGCTTATCATCTTATCACAACTTCGAACAAGGTAATAGTCCAAGATCCCAGGGCCCCCAAACGTCACGTGTTTTCTGACGGGTGAAATGTGGACGATTGAGTAGTGTTGGTATGCACTACGATCGTATGCCTACCAGCTAGCTTGGTCAAACGGCCAATTTCCAGGTATCAGGTGATCAAGGTACATAAAAACATTACTTACTTCACGTAAATTATCATGGCTGATTTTAATATAACATATTTTAGTATGTATAGTTCAAAATAAGTTGTCAATACTCCCAGACACTTTCCGTCGCAATTTGCAATATTAACTTCACGTAATTTCCGATGCTCCATTTTCGTATATGTTCACCCGACAACTATTTTAAAACCTTTGACAAGAAGACAGACCGATCCAAGGGGCCAATCATCCCCTAAATTTTAATATCTCTGAGTGGAAGCGCGAGAGCATTTCTACGCATTGAGACAGACTGCGCTGTTATGGCCGTGAAAGTTCCTTGAGCAGATATTTTATAATTTTTAGAACTTTTGTTAACAAATAAATTATGACAACAAAAATAAGAAAAAAATTGACATATAATAAATAATACTAAAGTAAGCCGACATTTTTAATTTTTTTCATTTATTGATTAGAGCTAAAAATATTTTTTTAAAATACCACTTTATAGTTTTTCAAATTTTTTATAAATGAATTTTTTTTTTCTTTAATAATTTTTTCAATTAAAAAAAATCTAAAAATTTTTAGATGTCGGCTAATAAATAGACTTTCATATCTTTTTTAAATATTTTTTTGAATATATATAATTTTTAAATAAAATAAAATAAGAAATCGGTCAAAAGGACAACTAACTTTAATGTAATTTAATCACTCGTGTCACGTCAGTATATTGGACCTATTTATTAATCAGACCTATGGTCAAGCCAAAGAGTTAAATGTAGGTAAATATAACTTAGTCATTACCATGTTCTTATCCAAAAATAAAAATTATCAACAATTAAAATATCGAATTATTTGTATGAAGGTCACATGAGCGCTAGAGAAACGACGATTGTAAGACGTTGTTGACAAATAAAATGTTTAATGAAATTTCCGAATCAATTTTATTTTTTATGAGGTTTAGGATCACTTATTCAGCATAAAATCACAAATTGCTGACATATCCAGGTGGCGCTTCAAGCGCAATCTTGAAAAAACGTTTTCAGTCGATATCTCGATAACTATGCACTTTGTATAACTTTTAAGGCAAAAGTTATACAAATCATTATTAGATAATTTAATTCGTGACGACAGACTTAAACGATTCATGAAAAGAGAGGTTAAGGCCTACTTGTCAAAAGTATAATTTGACCTGGTACTCAACCATAGTTTAAAATAATTTAACTCTACAGTGGCCTAACTCTGACCTCGACTTGGAAACTCTTTTCAAAAAGACCCTAACACTCTTGGCTTTAGTAACCACATCGTATTCAGACTATAGCACTTATAAAATTGTCAAATATTGTTTTTAATTCTTAAAGTGCTATTTCACCCTGTTATACGTCCCGCATCTTGCTTAGAAACATAAAACTCGATCGCTTCGATATTTTTGTATTAGTTTCAAACGCCCACATTCGAAAATAATATAACAATTATAATAAAGATATTATAATTTGCAACCATCCACTTATTTAACTACAATGACGTCTTACCTGGATTGAAGAGCACCTCCCGCCCTACCTCCCGGAATAGTGGTGTTGGGAGTAGTGGTGCCGGGAGTAGTGGTAATGGGAGTAATGGTAACGGGATTAGTGCATGCAATTGAGGGAGGGCGAGAGGTGCTCTTCAATCCAGGTAAGACACATCATTGTAGTTAATGAAGCGGATGGTTGCAAATTAACATCTTTATTATAATTGTTATGATGTATTTCCGCAAAGTAACGCCTGAATCTATCAACTATCCATTGAAGTAATATGTACTTACATTCTAGAACAGCTATCTCAAACAAAAAATGTGCTCTAATAGGTGTTCGCGCGGTTGTTTTTTTATCAAAGAATAAGCATAGGTAGAATGACCCGGAGAGGTAATAGAGTCTATTATTACCTATCCGGAGTCCATATTCTACCTATTTAACAATGCAATTTTATGTGTTTGATATGATATTACATAATATTATATCACAATTACATCTTAATGATATTTTTATCTGAATATTTTAGAAGGTATCTAAGTCAAACATAAAAAACATACTAAATGTATGTTTAACAAAACTTATTAACATAACATTTAAATTACAAATATATTTACTTAGATTAGAATAAAAGCCGTTCATAAATGCTGGGCACGCAAGAGTTAAAAATGGACGAATATATATATATATCACTTTGACTTTGATGAAACCTAAAAATGAAATAAAAGAATATTAAGCACATTTAAACATGAAAAATTTTGCCAAATTATAATAACTTATGTTTCTACAAAAAAATGTGTATAATAATATATTCGTCATATACTTAAGTACCCACAGAAATGCCACACAGAACAGAACACAGAAAAAAAGTGAAGACGAAATCGAGATTTTTTAAAAAAAATTGGAATAGCAGTTAAACAAAGTTACCAATACGGGAGAATCTTTGTTTGTAGAGGAATTAAGCGCTAAGTTTTATAATTTACATTCAATACATTGGCGCGTACTGCTAAATTTGGGCTACTACTGTCATTATTGATCTAAATATAAATATGAAGTTGTGATGCGAGATACCGTATTTGGGTTACCTCTGTCACGAAAAAGTGATGCGTACTGCTAATTTTGGGCTGATACTGTCACATTTTTATTACAAACATTCTAATAAAAACTGTTTGCTGCAGATTCACCTCTGCATCCGCTGAGCACGTGCCACGCTTTGTCACCAGCGTCATGCGTGGAGTCTCCTTTTCTGATTGATGGGGAGGTTCACCTACATATATCCATCTTGTCAGGAAATGGTTCTCCTGGAACTGGTTCTCTACAGCCAACGTTCCCAAGATCGCCGGTGCCGAGAATGGCACCACAGTCACCGCAACCGCAGGTTGACGACAGACCGAGTTTTCAACACCTGGAACATCAGCTGGCAGTGAACCTTCACAGCCCATGATGTTAGAGGTGCAACTCTACGAAGACATACCGATTTTGCTTGGTGATGCACCTAAGACGGAGACCCCAATGGGTCCAGAAATTTATAAGGATATAGTCAATCGATAGCAAAACATACTTGAAAAAGGCGTGAAAGAAAGTCTTTTGAAGAATTATCTTATACACTCCAACTGTGACCTTATTATTGCACCAGCTCTGAACTCGGGGGTTGAAGCAGCCCTGACAGAGACCTCTATAAAACGAGACTCGTCACTTTTTTCAAAAAAAAAGCAGCTAGGCGTCGCGAAACTAGCAAACAAAAACATTTAAAACCTTTAAGCGACGCCTGTCGCATTTTTTGCGATTGTCATTTTATGGAATCAAGAACACGTAGAGGTTTCATAATTTCGTCTATTAATACTTACCCGCTCTACTTTCAGTACCACAAGCAACACTGGCCTTTTAAACTACCTAAACCAACATCGCAAAGTAGACAACAAATTGCAGCCGCAAATTTACAACACAAGGCGAGGGCAGCGGTCAACGCCGCGCCCGCGGGAGGCAGCGCAGCAGGCAGCCAGCACTTCACGCCGCCCGCCGTCAATCAAGCCGACGATGTCTCGCCGGACATAGACGAGGTACCATTTTCGGGACAACTTCAGTACTTTGACAATAAATGGGTTGAAATAACTTCAGACAAAACTATTCCATCTTGGGTGAAAGGTTACCAAATACCATTTAAATGTACGCGATATTGTACTAGTGATCCTTATGTTTACCCCAAACACATCCCACGAAGCACATAATTTTAACAAGTCAATTAAAACCCTTTTAGATATTGGTGCAATATCCCACCGCACACATAAAGAAAGCGAATTCATATCCAGTGTATTTTTAGTGCCAAATAGATTTTTATTGAATCTTAAATGCTTAAATAAGTTCGTAGAAACGTGAAATTTTAAAAACTGTTATATGGCTTCAATAGATTTAAAAGACTCCTATTTTCTACTACTATTTTTATACATAAATCTCCTCGTAAAAACATACCTTCGCTTTAAATATAGTGATGTGATTTTTGAATTCAATTGCCTACCTTTCAATCAAAGATCATGAGAAATACTTGCGAATTAGTAACAGGCAGGCTATTCTGGCTCTAAAGTGCTTCGCTATTGATTTAAATTCAATTAAAATTATTTCGAATTGATAATGTTACTGTAATATCTTGTATCGTAGTAATTTACTACAATACAAGATATTACAGTAACATGTAGTAATTTACTACAATATACAGTAACATGTAGTAAATTACTACGATACAAGATATTACAGTAACATTATCAATTCGCAATAATTTTAATTGAATTTAAATCAATAGCGAAGCACTTTAGATGCAGAATAGCTGCCTGTTACTATAGGTAGCATACAGTTATATATCTTTTTGCTAGCAGACGTAATGCTAAAAGCCATAAATATATGGCCACTGTCGCTTTTACCGTTCCTTGGAAAAAAATATGTTATTCTACGCATTTCCACACTTTTCACTAATAACAAAGGTCATACAATAATTATTAATGAAAGAGTAGAAGGTATTCTAGTAATACTATATTGGCCCACGCAACCTTGATTCCTAGTATTCCAAAAACTAATTTGTCCTATCCCAATATATTTAAAACTAAATAAAGACTTGTTATTGTCTCCTTTCAAAATGCCTCGCAGCCTAGACCGCACCTTGAGCTTAGTAACCGCGAGGCTTTCAGGAAAACTTTATTTAAGAGATGTTTCTCCTCGAGATCAGTAGAAATTGTATGGTTTTCTTTATCTGATTCTACATATAAGCAATATGATGGATGTATTAAAAATTGGATAAAATATTGTAAAATACATGGTTTATGATTACTATGTAGTTTCTGCTCCTGCAGTAATTAATTTTCTTTCCATTGTTTTTGACAAAGGTGCCAAATATGGCACTATTTACTCTTACAAATCGGAAATATCCTTATTGCTAGGTATTTTAATTCATGAGTATGGACTTAAACGATTCATGAAAAGGCATTTATAGGTTAAGGCCTGCTTGTCAAAAGTATAATTTGACAAGGGACCCAACCATAGTTTAAAATAATTTAACTCTACAGTGTCCTAATTCCGACCTCGTCTTGGAAACTCTTTTCAAAAAGACTGTAAACACTCTTTTCTTTAGTAACTGCACATCGTATTCAGACTATAGCACTTATAAAATTATCTAATATTATTTTTAAGTGCTATTTCGCTCTGTTATATGTACCGCATCTTGCTTAGAAACATACATCTATAAAACTCAATCGCTTCGTAGTAATTTATATTTTTATATTAGTTTCAAACGCCCACATTCGAAAATAACATAACAATTATAATAAAGATATTAATTTGCAACCATCCGCTTAATATACTACAATGATGTGTCTTACCTGGATTGAAGAGCACCTCCCGCCCTCCCTCCTGGAGTAGTGGTGTTGGGAGTGGTGGTGTTGGGAGTAGTGGTGTTGGGAGTAGTGGTGTTGGGAGTAGTGGTGTTGGGAGTAGTGGTGTTGGGAGTAGTGGTGTTGGGAGTAGTGCTAACGGGATTAGTGCATGCAATTGAGGGAGGGTGAGCGGTGCTCTTCAGTCCAGGTAAGACACATCATTGTAGTTAATTAAGCGGATTGTTGCAAATTAATATCTTTATTATAATTGTTATGATGGATTTCCTCAATTATCCATTGAAGTAATATGTACTTACGTACATTGAAGTAATATGTACCATTTTCGGGACAACTTCAGTACTTTGCCCATAAATGGGCTGAAATAACTTCAGACAAAACTATTCCATCTTGGGTGAAAGTTTACCAAATACCATTTAAAAGTACGCGATATCTTACTAGTGATCCTTATGTTTACCCCAAAAACATCCCACGAAGCGCATAATTTAACAAGTCAATTGAAACCCTTCTTGATATTGGTGCAATATCCCACCGCACACATAAAGGAAGCGAATTCATATCCAGTGCATTTTTAGTGCCAAAACCGAATGAAGAAAATAAGATTTATATTGAATCTTATATGCTTAAATAAGTTTATAGAAACGTGACGTTTTAAGATGGAGGATTACTGAACAGCATCAAAATTGATGACCAAAAACTGTTATATGGCTTCCATAGATTTAAAAGACTCCTATTTTCTACTACTATTTTCTATACATAAATCTCCTCTTAAAAATACCTTCGCTTTAAATATAATGATGCGCTTTTTGAATTCAATTACCTACCGTTCGATTTGTGCACAGCACCTTAAGTTTTTACTAAATTAATGAAGCCAGCAATAGAATTTCTTATAATTAATGGAATGATATCTGTGATATACCTTGATGATATATTTTGTATTGGATGTTCGATTTTAGAATGCAAAAGGAATAATGTCTTACTACAAACTTTACCCAAAGTTTGTTTTCATAATAAACAAACAGAAAAGCTGCCTGGAACCGTACACTCATTGTAAATTTTAAGGATTTATTTTTGGTTCTAAGAACATGGCGATAAAATTGACCGATACTAAAAAAAATAAAAAAATTAAAACCAACATGTCACATTCATATTCATGTCATATTAACAAATTAGTAACAGGCAGGTTTTCTGGCTCTAAAGTGCTTCGCTGTGAATTTAAAATCAATTAAAAATTATTGCGAATTGAGAATTCTCTAGTGCAATAAAAAAACTGTTATCCTATCAATATTTATTTATAATCTACGTTTATTTCGTACGCCATTTTCGCGTGAATGTTATTTTGTTGATTTTTTTTTGATTTTTCTAGTGTTTTATTAGTGTTTAAGTATAGTGTTTTATTATAAAATTGTAAAGATAAGTGTGAATATAATTTAACTTTTTACGTAAATAATTTCGAGTAATATATATTGAAATAATTGTGATTATCACTCTACAGACATTCGCTTGGTATGTTTTGTTTTTGTTATCAAAATACAATAGTTTTTTTGTAATGAACTAAAAACTGACTTTTATATAGAGAATTTTGTATAGATTTTATAATGCTAAACTTCTTCATAGAAAAGTAGTCTCCAAACATAAGTTTTAATGGTTTTAAGTGCTGCGGGTGGGTGCCGTCGCATGCGACCTATGGTTATGTCGGTCACTCTGGCTCTACTGCGGATATCCTCATTTCTAAGTTTATCACGCAGAGAAACCCCGAGCATAGCCCTTTCCATAGCTCGCTGAGCGACTTTGAGCGTCCTCATACGGCCAGCAGTGAAGAACCACGTCTCGGTTCCGTAAGTCATCACTGTCATCATTTGCCTGTAACTCCACACTAAATTGAATTTTAGAATTTATGAAATTAAGATGTTCTAGAAGTACAATTACTTTGTCAGATGGAAAAATTCTGAAAGTATCGTGTACGTACCGCTTGTAGAGAACCTTGGAGTTACAGGTGCAGTAAGCGAAGAATCCAATATTGAGAAGTTACCTGTAGTGTTGAGGATTGTCTGTATACAAATAATATTGGTAATGAAGATTTAGAGGTGAAGACGACGTAATCTAGACTAAATGTATTGAACATTTCGTCTAGGTTACGTCGGCAGTTTCACTTATAACTGGATTTAATTGATAATTTGCAAAAATTTTCTGCAGTAACTTTTAATAATTTTAACAATTTGCATACAGATCAGAGCTGTTGACACGTAGACAGAGAACCCTTGACATTGTTATAACATAATGACGTCACAAATATGGCAGCCACTTCAGGCGCGTTTATAGTCACGTGATATTCTTTGAATTTTTATTAGTATATAGTTACTACAATTTAACTAATTCTTATTAATAATAATGGTTCTATTTAATTAATTCATATTTAATTATACATAATTTGAAAACTATTTTTGCATCTATTATCAATATTAACAGATATAAATTCTTCGATTACAATCGTTGAAGTAATATGTACTTACGTACAGCTATCTCAAACAAAAAAATGTGCGCTACTGTGTTCGAGCGGTTGCTTTTTATCATAGCATAAACATGGTAGAGTAGTACCCGTAGGTAATAGTAGATTGTATTGTTAAATAGTAAAGTATATTGAGAACAATATTTAAATTTTGTCATTTATTTTGTATATTATATTTGATTATTTAATATAATATTATATCACAGTTACATTTTAATGATATTTTTATCTGAATGTTTTTAAAGTTATCTATGTCAAATACAAAAAACATACTAAATTTATGTTTAACAAAACTTATTAACATAACATTTAAATTACAAATATATTTACATATTTAAGTTAGAATAAGTCATTCATAAATGCTGGGCACGCAAGAGTTAAAAATGGACGAATTTATACCGATTTGACTTTGTAATGGAAACCTAAAAATAAAATAAAAGTATAATAAGCAGTTTTTAACATGTAATCACAGAAATGTCGCATCTGAACATATTAATTTCATAATCTATATTCCACGACACGAGATGGTGTCTTAGGAATAATTTGTTTTATTATTAATGTATAAATTTTTTTTATTGATTAAGTATCTCACTATCCGATGAAAAGTAATTACATGGTTTTTAATGAAATTTCTTGAATTATTTGCGCAATATCTAAGTACACACGACGGCATATATCTATCAAGAGATTTTCTTAAAATGAACACAATACGTGACAACTCTTCAAGCGCCTAGCGAGTGACTGATTAAAGTGCGGTGTATGCACCGCAGTTGAGTGGAACGTAGTAGCTGAATGTAGTGTCACCTCTAGTACGTAGTATATAATAGCTCAATGATTACAA